ATACCCACTAATAAACAGACATCCATCTAAGCCACACTTTCTTCAACAATTTCAGGAAAAAGGGAGGAGAAAAAGTTGTGGACAAGATTGTGGTCTTTGGGTATAAAAAAACAAACTGAAAATCTTTCTGTGGAAGTGTATTACCAACATCCTTCCTACTGCTTGTAATCTAGTTGCATGTGGAAGTAAAAATATTTAGGCAAACCTAATTCAACCGGTATTGAAGCTATAAATCGGCAATTCATTGATCACACTCGATCTAAAGTTATTTCCAGCTATAAACTAATGCTTACACATAATTGCATTGTCAAACGATATAACAAGAATGCAATCAGCCAATCACTCGTGAATCAAAGCTTCGAATACACAAGCAAATCCATGAGTAAGCAAGCATCAATCGAGCACTTCAAGCAATTGAGATCCAAACGTTAATTCATACAACGGGATCATCAAACAAAACATCATAACAATATCACGCTCCCCGGTTAAACTACGCAATTGAAACCCTTTTGCTGCAGTTATGCATGTATATAGTGTGTGTCTGTGTGTGTGTGTGTGTGTGTGACTTTTAACCAACGAATCTGGATAGACGCCTGATAGATATGTAGCTTGCCTCTTCTTGAATCATAAAAAGTGAACACCCCATCTAATGGTTTCTGCTGTACATTCACTTCAATAGTGTGGTCCGATAAATCCTGGAAGTGAATGTGCTAAAATCATGATCAGAAGAAAAGCCATCACGGCAAGGATTAAAAACAACAGTCATCAAGTCTTGCAAATAGTACATCTTTAAGTGCCACAATAAGAGGATCATCTTTTGATAGAAATGGAGCCACTCGAGGTGTTGTTGCCAAAAATTCTACCCACAAACTTATATAAAAAGGATTTATAGATAAATTACTATGATCTGCAAATATACCAATGCTTTTCCCTTGCTGCCCGTAAATTGTGTCTGTGTATACCACAAGAGGTAGAGGATAAAAAACTGAGAACCCTTCTTAATTTCATGTACATGTAACATAATCAAATGCACATGACATTTGAAAACAGGATCTTACCGCAAGACTTTCAGCAAGTAATTTGACACTTCCGACTTATCAAAGCTTCATTAATAAAATTCCTGTGGAGAAACAAGTGATTGAAAATGCAATTACACAAGAAAGAAATTTAATTTTGATAACCGAAAAATAAAAGTTATACATTTTAAGCCATACCTGTTATCTCACAGGCTGCCAGTATTTTCCAGGAAATCGGGTGCAACTGGAAGTTTAGAGAGAGTTGCTGCGTGACTCTCAGCCTCGAAAATTGCTCATGATCCCATGCCACCTAGATTATGTTACAATATGATCAATATGACGATACAAGCTGATGAAAATGATACAGGTATGATTACATATAAACCATACTATGTAAAAATAAGAACTGTCCTTGTATTACTCTCCTTTATCCTAATTTGGTTTGATTTGATGTCAACGACGAACATGAAGAGGAAGAACAAACCCTCTTCCGGAACTTGGTGGGGCCCATTAAACCCTCCATTATCGGCCCCCTGTGACCTTAAAAATAAAAATTTTGAGGTGGGTTTCACAGGATCTCACAGATTTGTTTTGCGGTTTGTAACAACAAATATCTTGCGACCAATTAATCGCGATTTCCTCCGCTTCATTAGGCGAAGAAAAGGATAGTTATCATAATGCCAATATTCTCTCATGAGAGCTTGATCCTCTCCTCCTGAGAATCTGATTGTCGATGTTGCCGGCCTTTTCAGTCCCACATTTGAGAGATTCTAACTCCATCTTGTAACAGAGTTTTCCTCTCTTCCCCTAGGCTTCTGCTCTCCTTTTCCTTCTTTTGTTTTCTTTGGTTTTCTTGCAGTGTCTTTCCTTCTCTGGGTCCGTCCTTTTCTGGATTCATTGCAGGGTTTATTGACAGGTTCTCTCCACCTCTCAATTCGGAGTTCTTCATGGAAGAAGATATTGTTATCAAATTGGGATCCTTACAACTCTCTAAAAAAGAAGCAGACGAGATTTCAATTGAACCAGTCAACATCCAAGTCAGTTATGAAGAATGCAATCGAAGCCTATTTGGGAAGATTATTGGACAGAAATGTTCTAACCTCTTAGGGTTGAAAAGAACAGTGGCACAGATTTGGAAAATTAGGGCTCCAGTCTCGGTTATAGAGCTAAGCACAAATTTCTTCCAAAATATCTTCTGATGACGCTGATAAAATCAAAGTTGCAAAGAGACAGTGCTGGAAGTTTGAAAATCAATTCTTAAAGAGTGGAAAGATGATCTCAACTCTGAGCATTAAGAATTCAAAAAACTTGATATGTGGGTGCAAGCTTGATATGTCGTTATTAACATTTTTTGAAAGCACCAAATTGAACAGAAAAACATTTTTCAACATTGTCTGTAATTAAAATTCATCGATAACAGAAATTAAACACCCAGTGTCAAAGTGCAAAACCGACCTCCTCACTGTCTTCCTCATCATCAACCTCCGACTTTGATTTGTCTGATGCATCTCATCATCATCATCATCATCATCATCATCACCATCATCATCTCCAGACTATTACAATGTGAAAAAGGCCAATTCAGCAAGTTACAGACATATATTTTATTCAACGAAGGAAAGTAAAACCGCTGACAAATGGAAGGACGGATGATAAAATACTGACTTACCAGTTTTCTGTTGTAATCTTCCATCTGTCGCTCATATTCCTTCTTTTTCTCTGCCTTTGCCACAAAGGGAGCTTTTTCCTAATAATTGACATTTACACATTTTGGTCATATGTTCCAGATCAACAAATTCCTCACAGCAAAAATGAGTAACATTTCAGCATAAATGTCTGGAAAACTAGATACAGTTACCTCGTCAATCATTGACTTCCACTTTTCAACAGCAGCTTCGCCAACCTACATTTTGGCCCCATTAAAAGTGTAAAATACTATAAACAGGAGTAGGTTGATTCAAGAGTAAGAATATTAAAACAAAGTGGAACCCACAGCAGAAACTGATTTGTTTTTAGGGTGCTTTTCCTTGCATTGCCGCTAAAGCCTTCTCTGCAACATGAATATGACCGTGGATAAAATTAAAAATGCATGCAAATTACAGAACATGGTCTTGATCAATTAATAAGAAAATAGTACCAATAAAAAATATTCAGAAGCCGATAGACCACAGAGCAAATTACATACATGAAAACAAAGAAAACACTTGGAGCCCTCTTGGGCTTGTTTGGATCCTTTGCTGCTTGCTTATCTTTCTTTGTCTGCTTCCTAACAGCAAGCCTAATTTCAGAAAATCCACCAAGCAAGAAGAGTACAAAAGCAGCTAATCTCACTTGAGAGTACAAATATACACTGATAAAAATCACATAGGAAAAATTGAATGAACGACTCAAAATCAGTAACGTGGGCAATATAATGTCTTTCAAGTCAAAAAAAATCTTTGAAAAGTTATGCGCGTACAACAATAATTTAATAAATAAAACTCAACATAGAATAACATAAAATTGCAAACAGCCAGATCTACATAAGAAAATGCCAAACAAAATATAAAAAAATCAGAAATCTATAGCTACCATTTCGAAACTTAAATCTAAATTTCTTTTTTAGTAAATATGATCAACTGATTCTCAGATCTACCAGGCAAATAAGCTCAGTCTCATTCGACTTTTCAAGGAAAAAAAAAAGGTGAACAATAACAGAAGAAAGTACAATTATCAAAACCGCGATCTATGAATGGATGAGTAATTCAAAGCATTAAATATCCCAATCCAGTAGAAACCGTGCAAACAAAATCACCACATAAAAGCTAAAAAAACTCAAAAGAAATTGAAGCAGCACAAAATGAAAGTGAAAAAAAAAAATCAAAAAAATCAGAGCATTCATACATTTTGAGCCATGAAATTCATAACCTACTGAAAAAAAATAGACAGAAATTGCACACATACACACACCAAAAATACACAGTGCGAGATGGAAAGAGAAATGAACTGACAAATAACAATGCAAAAGGCTCAACAAGGTAACATTACTCGCCTGCTGTCGGCTTTCCTTAAATCAGCTTTCGAACTTTCTCCTTTCATGACGAAAAACTTCCAAAAAACACAAAAAGAATTAAAAAAATCAGATTCTGAAATACATTGAGAATCCACAAAAAAAAAAAGGAAACTACGACCACGGGAAATGAGCAAACAAAAAGCTCACCTCAGACGGCAACCAGCGACCAGGGGTTAGGGTTAGGTCCGAACTTTCCCTTTCCCAACCGTAATTGTGATTGAGTGTAACACAAAGGCAAGCGACAGTGAAAAGCAATGGGGCTGTAAGATTGTGATGCGAACCGAGTGATCGCACGACGGACCAAGCTCCAGCAGCACAGGCGAAGGGACTAACCAAATAGAGGCTATCACGGTCATGGGCTTCGCGCAGCGCAAGGTGCTGCGCCGCGGCACTTCACAGGGCCTCACGTCGTTACAGCCTTCGTGAGGCGACTGAGGCTGTTTTGAGGCCATTTCTAGCGGAGCGAGACCCGTCGCGCCGCGACAACGCGATGATGCTGTATGTACTGGACGTGATCACAAATTCATTCATGACAAGGCAGTTTGCATCAATTTAGATAGGTTATTGCAGTTCATTTTCAGTTTTTATTTCAATTTCTTAGTGTGCTTTGCATGATGGTTTTTGCAAGTTAGTTTCATGCAGTTTCTGTTTGTTTATTACCGGTTGTTTTCAAATTTTAAATTCAATAGGTTAGTTATCAAATTAGAAAAAACCGCAGGTTAGTGTTGCAGAGTTGAGTTTTGTTCTTAAAAAGACTTGTACTCTCATTTGGGAATTATGCATTAAGAAATAACAAAAAGGCTCGTTGCCGAGCAAAATCTTAGTGTTCGACCGACGGCAGGTTAGTGCGTTAACACATTTTCTTTACGTTCGATACACGATCGCAACAGATTGACGTGACTTGACGGGAGCTGGAAAAATTGAAGACGGATTGTTAAATCAGCGATTTTTTAATGTCGATGAGAAAGCGCGCTCTGTGGACTTTGAGCGGAATATTGAAGCATTGCCGCGTTTATGTCATTTTGGCTTCATTTCAAATAATTAAATGATAAAAATATTTTACACGCCAAAATGTATATTATGAGATTAACAAATAGAGCAAAAGGCAATCGAATTTAGAAGTACCTACTTCAAAAGTGAGGAATGACATTTAAATTGATGAAGCTAATTGATGGAGATAAGAATCTTTATAATCTTTAATTTAATTATTTGTTTTCCTCTTTATTATGATTATGATTGTGATTGTTGGTCGTATTCTATATTTGTTAGGAAACTTATTTACTTATTATTTGTTAGAATCTT